CCCGCCCCCTCCCCGTCCGCCTCCGGCGACGCCTGCGCCGCGATGGACGCGCTCTCCCTCATCGACGTCTCCGGCGAGGAGGACGACTTCCTCCTCGACCTCGCCTCGCCGCCGCAGCACCCCGACCCGCCGCCCCGCGCCGCCCCAGGTCAGCGAGTCAGCCAGCGCGCCGTCTCCCGTCTCCCGTCTCCCGTTACCGTTCCTTCCATTTCGGCGGGGATCCGCGCGTGGGTGGGTTGTCGCCTCCGATCTGACGAGCCGCGCTGCGATTTTTTGTTTAGGTGCTTCGGTGGTGGCCGCCGATTCGGAGCAGCCCGCCGTCGGATCTCCGCCGGGCGGGCAGGTCGTGGATCCCGCGGAGCAGGCACCGGAGCGCGCGCAGTCCCCGAAGAGGACCAAGCCCAAGGGCGGCGTCAACCTCCGCAAGAGCCTCGCCTGGGACAAAGCCTTCTTCACCAGCGAAGGTTTGTGCATCGCCTCCACAAATAAACTAGTCCAAATCTCTATTGTTTCGTGACTGCTGCGTGTTAGTATGATACACATCGTGGGCTCGTGGATCCTGATCTGGTTTGCCACCAGTCCTGCCAGCTCCTAACATTTCTCTTGTTTTTTGAAAAGAATCTGTCGCCTGTACCTGTGCATTTCGATGCAGATAGATAGAATTTCTTACCATTTCCCTTTCCAGCTCTGTACTTGTCTTTTGTTATATTAGACCTGTGCATTTTGATTTAGATATACAGCAGTTCTTACCATTTCCCTTTCCAGCTCTGTATTTGTATTTTGTTATATCAGACCTGTGCATTTTGATGTAGATATACAGCAGTTCTTACCATTTCCCATCCCAGCTCTGTACTTGTCTTTTGTTATATCAGACCTGTGCATTTTGATGCAGATATACAGCGGTTCTTACCATTCCCCTTTCCAGCACTGTACTTGTCTTTTGTTATACTCCCTCCGGTCCTTTTTACTCTGCATATTAGAATTCTCTGAAGTCAAACTTCACAAAGTTTGACCGTATTTATATGAAAAAATATCAACATATGCCATACTAAAGTTATACAATATGAAACTTTAAGTCATGACACATCTATTGGTATTGATTTCAGATTGTGAATGTTGGTACTTTTTTCTATAAAGTTGGTCAAACTTTATGAGGCTAGACTTCAGTCAAATCTTATATGCGAACTAAAAAGGACCGGAGGGAGTATTAGACCTGTGCATTTTGATGTAGATATACAACAGTTCTTACCATTTCCCTTTCCAGCTCTGTACTTGTCTTTTGTTATACCTGCCACCCTGATGCGTTGATTGATAGCAGCTAACTATTCCTCCTGGTCTGAGCAGGTGTTCTGGATACTGAGGAATTGGGCATTGTGAACAGCACTTTCCGCAAGTCACAGGGTTCTAGGCTTCTGCCAGGAATAGCAGAGGAAATGAGGAGGTCAATGGAGTCCACCACCTCCTCGCTGGAAAGTGAAAGCTTTGTGCTGGAAAGCCTTGAGACTGAGCTGTTTGACAATGTCCGTGCTTCGATTCAGAGGACGCTTGGGAAACCTGATAAAGCTCCTAGTGTGGCTTCTGGAAGCTCAAAAACCCCCAGGGCCACAGCAAAGGCCCCTCCTGTCACAGGTAAGATTTCTCAAACTCAGAAGTTGATGCAACACACTGATTTCTTATGCTGTAACTTCAGTGAGCATTGTCTGCTGTTTTTTACTAATGTGATTGCTTTGTTGCTACTTTCCAGCGAGAAAGGGGGTTGATCGGATACCTCAGACTCAGAGCAAGGTATGTTGTCACAATTCTTCAGTGATTTGAACCTACTTTCCTGCAGTCTGTAATCATTACTAATCAATACTTGTTAATGCTGCCTCAGATAAAGCCCCCTGCTTCAATAAGCAATGGTTCCGTTGGTGGTAGCAGACAAAGGCCCCAAGTCACCCTGAAAGAGCCTGCAGCTGCAAGAGTGGTATGTTACATGCTTGCAGTTCCAGAATATCCATGATCTTTCTGTAGTTTAGCTGTTTACCCCTAACTAGAGGTTTAGGGTTTGTGTGATGCTTGTTACATACACCAGGATCTATAATTGTACTCCCTCTGTAAACTAATATATTAGTTTACTGAGGGAGTAGTTATTAGTAATATGTAATTATTTTATCTGTTTTAAGAGCCTATCCATTTCTTGCATTTACCGATAATCAGATTACCTCTTGTGTCTTGTCCATTGAAACCCTGTTCTGGAATTGCATAGAACTAATTAAAAAAACTCCAGTTAGATAATTTTATTATCTTTTAGGGAGAACAAAGTCGGCTAATTGCTTGTTTTAATTGGAGTTCCCATTGAGTATTAATATGAACTTAATATCATGTTTATTCTTTCTGGTTGCGAAGGCTGTATCGAAAGCTGCGGAAGCAAAACCATCCTCAAAGCCTCCCAGAGCTCTGCCAAGAGTTGCTACAATGAGAGCACCGACTAACACAGCTGTCACCTCTGGGATTGCAGACAAAAGAAGCAGCACTGGTGTGAATCAACATACTTAAATTTGTTCTGCCGTAAGTGTTAATAGATAGCAAACCTAATACACTTTTTTCCCTCTTGCAGGAGGTGTAGTCAACAGGCAGGCAGTTGCCAAGTCTGCTAACAGTTCAGCCAGCGTGCCATCTCGGCCTGGTGGGGGGACAAAGAACAACTCAACATCAAAATCTGGTGCTTTGTCGTCAGCAGCAAGTCCTTCCTTGCGTAGTGCTCCCATGGCAGGTGGGAAAACAAAGTCACCGACCCTAATCAGCAAGAACAGGACCGCTCAGAGGATCCCTATTCGTTCATCAAGATCTGATATCAGCAAGGTTGACCCAGCAAGGGCATCAAGAAATAAGAGTCACAGTGAGGGTGCATCACCGACCATTTCACCTAGCAGCTCCGTGGACAGCATGAGTTCTGTGATTTCTGGGGTTTCAACTGCATCCACTGTAGGGAGAGCGAGTCATACATCTGAGACCTATAGCACAAGGTCGTCTTCATTGTCCCCTTCCAACAGAAAGAGCAATGACCACCCTCCAACCACACTACGGAGGCCTGTTATTGTTACAGAAGGACAGGCTTCAGGAGCATTTGCTGATAATGTGAAATCTAATGTTGACACATCAACCCAAGGAAATGGTTTTAAACCATCTGGTCTACGAAGGCCTACACCCAAGATTGGATATTTTGATGCTGTAAGTGAATTGTATGTTTTCTTTCTTGTAATGATGCCAATGCTCTTTATTTGTTCTAACACTCTTGGTTCTGTTATGTCTTCAGGAGAAATCTGTTGAACAAAAAGCCGGTGCACGGGCACAACTGCAACCCACGAAGGTTCTGTTTTCACCGTTGGCCACACAGAACTCTTGGATTCCTTCTACTCCAAAGACAATCCCTGCAGCTCTTACCTTTGAGCAAGAAGAACCAAAATCTAGGGCAGCAGCACCTTCTCAAACCAAATCTAGGGCAGCAGCACCTTCACTGCCTCTCAAAGTTGCACAAACTGAAGTAAAACCATCAAAGGTGACAGAGCCTGAAGCTTCTCAAGCTAAGGTATCAACTCCACTGCCTCTCAGAGTTGCACAAACTGAAGTAAAACAATCAAAGGTGACCGAGCCTGAAGCTTCTCAAGCCAAGGCATCGACTCCACTGCCTCTCAGAGTTGCACAAACTGAAGTAAAACCATCAAAGGTGACAGAGCATGACGCTTCTCAAACTAAGGCATCGGCTTCACTGCCCATCAGAGTTGCACAAGCTGAAGTAGACCCATTGAAGGTGTCAGAGCATGAAGCTTCTCAAACTGAGGCATTGCCTATACTGTCTCCCAGAGTTGCACAGACTGAAGTAGAACCAGCAAAGGTGGCGGAGCATGACATTTTTGGAACAAAGGGGCCTTCAATGCCTTTAATTAGAGCTGCTCAAACTGAAATAGAAACACCAAAGGTGTCAGAGCATGAAACCCACATGCAGGAGACTGGTCCATTGGTAGTCGCCATGGACAGTGCAGAGGAGGGCATTCCAGCTTTGCATCAGAATGTCCAGGCCAATGGTGAAGTAGAATCGTCAAAGGTGTCTGAGCTTGAAGCACACGTGAATGAGACTGGTTTGTTGCTCGCCATGGGCATTGCAGAGGAGGGCTTTCCAGCTTTGCATGAGAATGTCCAGGTTAATGGTGAAGGAGAATCATCAAAGGTGTCGGAGCATGAAGCACACATGCAGGAGACTGGTCTGTTGGGCGCTATGGACATTGCAGAGGAGGGCTTTCCAGCTTTGCATGAGAATGTCCAGGTTAATGGTGAAGGAGAATCATCAAAGGTGTCGGAGCATGAAGCACACATGCAGGAGACTGGTCTGTTGGTCGCTATGGACATTACAGATGAGGAGGGCATTCCAGCTTTGCATGAGAATGTCCAGGCTAATGGTGAAGTAGAATCATCAACAGTTGAGCTGTCATCATGTACCTCTGGTCAGCAAGAATCAGAAACTACAGCAGCACCTTGCGAGGAGAGCAGTCCTTCACAAATCAAGGTATCACCTTCTCTGCCACTTGGAGTTGCAAAAATGGAAGTAGACCCACTGGAGGTGATTGACCATGAAGCAGAAACATCGAAGGTGTCGGAGCATGAAGCATACATGCTGGAGACTGGCCAATTGGTTGCCATGGACATAGCAGAGGAGGGCATTGCAGCTTTAAATCAGAATGTCCAGGCAAATGGCGATATCAGTTCATCAACTGTTGAGCTGTCATCAGGTACCTCTGGTCAGCAACAATCAGAAACTACAGCAGCACCTTGCGAGGTTAACACTTCTCAAACCGAGGTATCGCCTTCACTGCCACTTGGAGTTGCAAAAATGGAAGTAGAATCACTGGAGGTGATTGAGCATGAAGCTTGCATGCCCCAGGCCGGCCAAGTGCTGGCAGCCATGGATATTGCAAAGGAGAACATTCCAGCCATGGATACCGCAAAAGAGAACATCCAGCCTGGTGGTTATTTGAGTCCACTAAAGGAGAACATTCTGGCTGCGCATCAAAATATCCAGCCTGAAGAGCATATGACTCCTGTAAAGGGAAGCATTCTTGCCTCACATACAAATGCGCAGGCTATAGGGGAGATGACTCCAATGACTCTCCTGAGCCAGAAGCTGTCCTCCATTTCTCTAGGACAAGCTAATGGGGAGGCGACTCCATTGACCCAGAAGGCGCCCTCCATTTCTCAAGGACAATCTAATGGGGAGGCGACTCCATTGAACCAGAAGCTGTCCTCCATTTCTCAAGGACAATCTAATGGGGACGCGACTCCATTGACCCAGAAGCTGTCCTCCATTTCTCAAGGACAATCTAATGGGGACGCGACTCCATTGACCCTGTTGGCGCAGAAGCTCTCCTCCATTTCTCTTGGGGATGCCACCGACTAGGTGCCTTGTTCTGCCAGAGGAACTGAGCTTCCGAATCGTATGCTGCTGGTTGTTTTATGATTACATCCTTGTTATCCAGAAGGCAACCACAGCTGAAGTTAGTACAAAAGGCTGTCCTACAGTTTGTTTTATTTCTTTTAGCTGTTCAAAGAATGAGAGTGCTACGAGTGTAGTAAACGCAGGGCATGGTTGAAAACTGTGATATTCTGTTGTGTCCAAAGCACTTGATCCTGGTATGTCAATTGCAGATTTGCGAGTAAAGCGTATAAATATGATTTCCCTCAGCTACTGTTTGTGGTATTCCTACTAACTATTAATAGGCATAGCATGTTCACCAGGGTGTGTTTTATATCTGTGACTAGCAATAGTATTGATCAATCATCACTTGTACTCCGTAAATTGTAATGTAGTAGTGCAGCCTACACACCAATTTACAAGCATGAATGCATCTGATCTAACGGCTTGTGATAATTTAAGATCACCAAGTCATAGGCTTCAGGAACCCAGATTGCACCTGGAGCAAGAATAAATATACAAATGGGTTGGTCGTCTTCATCGTGCCACCATCAGGACTCTGCCGGAACTTGAATCAACACATCGGAGCTCCGGCGACAGAACAATGTGCGTATGCCAAATGTCGCCACAAGCACATCTCCAGGAGCAGAGGAGCTGTTAAAAATACACCCCTGACAGCAGACTTCACTTGCTCCTCTTCTTGGCCTCGCCGTACAGAACCACGCCGGCGATGGTCACCCCGTAGCCCAGCATCCCCATGACGGTCACCGGGTTCTTGAATATCAGGATGGAGACGACGACGGCGACCGCCCCTTTCGCGTTCCCGAGGACCTGCAACGACCAAGCACAAGGCGCATGAGCATCACCGGTGTGTGTTCATCTGAGAAGTTCAGTCAATGAGCAGAGCACCATGGTTGGCAGGACGAACCTGGAGGGTGAGCGGGCTGGTGTGCTTGGTGACCAGGAAATTGGTCAAGTTCACCAGGTAGGCCAGCGAGGAGTTGCCGAGCAGCAACCAGACGAAGCTGGGGTCCTCCCTGGCGAGCGCCGCCGCCGTGCCGAGCGCGTCCGGCTCCATCATCAGCGTCGCCGGCACCAGCAGCACCACGGCCACCGGCGCCATGTACCAGAGCAGGTCCATGGAGTTGAGCTTCTCCCTGCACGCCATCAAATCCGATCCCCATTTTCAGTAAATGTATCATTCAGTACAAGTCAACGTGATGAATGAAGTATGATGATTATTACTCTTCTGAGGAGAGCAGGATCCCCTGCAGCACGGTCTTGAGCGCCCTCCCCGCCGTCGCGCCCACGCACATGATGAACCCGAACAGATGGAAGCTCGGCTCGCCCTGGATGGAACCAACAATGTCAGCGCGCGAGCACATCAAGATTTGGCTTATATTAATTCGGAGCTTGCTGCTCGATCTAGTTTAGTTTAGTTTGGTTACCCCGGTGGCGATGACGACGCCGGCGACGACGGGGAGGAGGGCGGCGTAGGTGGCACGGGCCTCGCGCCGCCCCGCGACGGCGTAGGCGATGAGCGCGGTGAAGAAGGGCGTGGTGGCGCCGACGGCCTGGTTGAATGACACGGGGAGGTAGCGCAGCGAGACGTTGCCGGCGACGACGGAGCCGCAGAAGACGGCGCCCAGCACGGCCACCCTGGCCGCCTGCCCGCGCGAGAGCGGCCGGCGCGGGGACGAGGAGGAGGTGGCGGCGGCGAAGGCGGAGGAGAGGAGCGCCGAGGCGGACATGTGGCAGGCGGTGAGGAAGACCGGGTAGCGGAAGCCGTAGACGGAGAGGAGGTACTTGTTGAGCAGCAGCACCCCGATGTTGGACGCGTACCACGCCGCCACCAGCCCCGCCGTCCGCAGCCGCCCCGAAGGCCCGGACGCCGCCGCGGCGTCCGGGCCGCCGGCGGCCGTCGTCGTCGGGAGGAGCGCCCGGTCCTCCTGCTGCCGCATCGTCGGCCTTCTTGGTTCTTGCTTGCCGGAGCTGCTGGCCGGTTTGGTTTGGTCTGGTTGGTGGGCGCTGGCGCGTTGGTTAACTTGGTTCTTCTACGTGCGTGCCACGCGTTTATATGGACATGGACATGGTCGTGGCTCGTGGGTGGCGCCGTGGGGGAGACGACGGGGCTGCCGGTCGGGGTTGGGGTGTGGAGACGCTCTATTCAACTAAGGACAATCTGGCCGCTCCCGCCAGCTTAAACATCTATATTTCTCAACGTCTACCCTATTGTACTGAGGTGTAGTGCGTGTTGATTAGCCCCTGACAGCTCGAGGAGAGTATTTTTTGGACGCAGCTCGAGAAGGGTTTGCAAATCGTGACTGCAGCAATGTGGGCCCTACTTGCAGTACAATGGACAGTGGAGCTAAAAATAAGACACCTTTTCATACATCCCGGCCGTAAGAGAGAGAGAGAGAGAGAGAGAGAGAGAGGAAAAAAAATGTTGCTCTAGGTTGAAGAACACACGCTTCATTTTTCTTCCGGATCTCCTGCCGATAAAGGTGGCAGCAGGCGACACAGACTAGTTAGTTTCACGATGATGGACTAGTCGCCGGGACGATGGTCACACATTAACTTCGTCAAGCTGCAGCGACTCATGACGACCCGTATGATCCATCACGTCGGTCAGACCACGACCGGCGAACCGACCGATCGATATATGCCGAAGCCGAACGTGCCGTGCCGAATCGAGCAATCATGCGTGATGAGGGAGTGAGTGCAACACCATACCGTGCAAGCAACCAAGAATTATATACTACTATAATTTATGTGCATACAGCGACGACGCGTGGAATTTGATCTACATAATTTAGAAAAGGAGTGGCCTAACTTCCGAACAGTCTGAATTTAAGCAATATATCCGGACGATCCTAACACAACTAATCACGCATTGTTTATCAAACGCGCATGCAGCCCCCGCACCTACGGGAAGTTTGTCACATGCATGCAAACTAATAAACTTCATGATGTCAGCAAAATATTCTTTTTATTTTGAAACTTTAAAATGTTTTGTAGCTCAAACCATCGCTCCGATTAAAAAAACTGTTTTCACATAAAAGATTTGTCATGATGAGACCTTCAAAACTAGATCCCATGTTGGCATGTTTCAACGACTTTTTTTCCAGGTAAAAAATTACCACGTGTGCTACACAAGTTATCATGTCAATTGAGCATAAGTTATCATGTTGATTACACAGAAACTACCAAGACGTAAAAATGGTTCCTCCAACCTTATCTTCACATGCACATGCATGCATTAGAGAGAAAATGTTTTGATGTCATCCTAGATTTTCCTTATTTTGAAACTTCAAAATGTTTAATAGATCAAACCATCGGTCCAATCGAAAAATCATTTCCGGCGACGAAACCTTCGAAACTAGATCCCATATTGATATGTTCTGACGACTTCTTTTCATGCAAATAGTTATGGTTGGGCTAAGTAAGTTATCAGGTATGAAGATTGTCTATTATCATGCTATTTACACATGAGTTACCGTGGTACATTTTCAACAACATGAGTTAACGGGAGGGGGGGGGGTATGTTTTCAAACAACTTCCTCCCCTCCAACCACCCCTGGATCAAATTTACCGTGGTATTTATATATAAGTTAACACCTCCCCCACCCCCCGTAAAGTTATCATGGTGTTTGCGCATGAGTTATCAGGTTTGTGGTGTATAAATTATCATGCTATTTATGCTCATGCTATCGGGGATGTCTTTAACAACTTTTTCTTCCGGGTCAAAGTTATCACGGTGTTTGTGCGTGAGTTATCAGATCTGTGGTGTGTAAATTATCATGCTATTTATGCAGAAGCTATTGGAGCGGGGGTGTCTTCAACAATTTTTTCTCTCAGGTCAAAGCTATCATGGTGTTTGTGCATGAATTATCAGGTCTGTGACGTGTAAATTATTATGTTATTTTGCATAAGCTACCAAGTGCCTATTATACCACATGCAGCCAGATAACTACGAAAATGAACCATGTTGATAACTATAGTACATCTGGCCCGATAACTGCATAGTAACCATATTGGTAACTATAGTACATCTAGCACGATAACCACAAAAAAAATCATGCTGGTAACTATAGTACATCTAGCCCGATAATTACAAAATAACCATGTTGGTAACTATAGTACATCTAGCCCGATAACTTCAAGAAGCTACCGCCGTCTTGTCTTGCTGAGCTGGACACAAACGTTAACAAAACTTAAAGCACCAAAAAACAGAGCCCTCCCGCCGGCAAGCGCCGGGATCCACCACGCACCCACAGGCGGAGCTTAGTTGGGGCTAAACTGTGCCATGGCCCGCCCATCTTAGAGCATATGCATGAGTAGAAGTGTGGTTAGTGAGCAAAACAATGTCCAATGTATGAGTGAATGCCTAACGTGGCCCGCCCTGATCTTCTGTTGTAGCTCCGCCACTACGCGCACCCATGGCGATAAGGCCACCGGACACGTGGTAGATTGACGGCGCTGCCGACGGGAGGTATAAATCCTAGCCGCCTTTTCGTTTGATGAGGTGAGACTCATGGGACTGCATGACATTCTATGTTATTTACACACAAGTTGCCGGATATATTATTTCTAACATTTTTCCAGGATCGAAGCAATCATTATATTTGTACGTAAACTACCAGGTCTATGATTTATAAATTATCGTATTATTTCCATAGAAGTTAATAGTTTATGTTGCAAAACAACTTTTTTTTCCGGGTCAAAGTTATCGTAGTATTTCCACGTAAATTAACGGGATCACGGTGCGTAAAAATACCGTGATATTTACATAGAAGTTACCCGAGCATATTTTCAACAACTTGATTTTTCTTGGGTCAAATTACCAATAAATTTGTTTGTATGTTTGCCTAATTCCGCAAGTAATATGTACGTAATGATAGACTAGAGAAGCTCAACAAAAGAAAGAAAGCGGAAAAGCTATTTTCCATACGGTCAGTAAAACAACTAGTCTGATGTTGTATAGCTATTTTAAAGCCAGGCGGGTCAATAAAACAACTAGTCTGATATTTTCCTCAATTTCGTATTAGAAATGTTATACAAGAAGTAAGTTACCTACACCTAGTTATCAAAGGAATTTAGTCGGCCTGGTCGAGATCCTAGTAGGTCATCTAGTAAGTCACAGGCTCAAATACCATTAGCATCCACTTTTTCTTTCCTTTTTCTCTCGCATTTAATACAGCTCAAATAGTACACTTGGTTCAAAACTTTCCGCAATGAAGCATTAGCGGGATGGTTGTTGACCATGTACTCGTTCGAAGCGCGCATGGTTCGAATCTTATCTCGAGGCATTTATTTTTTACGGCCGAGAAGCTGTCACCTGATGAGAAGGGTGCGAACAGTTCAGGCCGTGCGATCGAAATCCAATGACTCTGGCGTCGTGCGGATCTAACACAAACTGTCAGTCGGCAGGATTTTAGCTTTTTCGTTTAGAAAAACAAGTTAGACCTTTTGTGTGGCACATACGTGGGATAATTAAACATAAATACATATACAATACTTACTTTCGAAAAATAGATCATGCTAGTTCACAGCTTGAGCGATGCAAAAGGAAAAAAAAATTCACAGCTTGAGGAGAGAGAAACCCACCCATATATACACGGCGATTTGGGGGAACATGACAGCGTTGCAAAAGATCATGATAAGTAGTTCGCACGTTGCACACGTCCACGCACACAAGTGTATCCTACTTTCTGGTGGATAAAATAAACACATGTCTTCTTCTTCTTCTTCTTCTTCTTCTTGGCTTTTTACATTTTAATTTATAGTATTTTTCTCCATTTATAGATTACTTCCATATATTTTCATCTTTTCTTGAGAACACCTCCCATTAAAACATGTGTTCACCAATTTTCTTCAATACAAAATGTATATCTCTGTTAACTGAGCCATGTATACTTCGTTTGTCGCCTTTCTTGGGACTAACTTTTGGGGAAGGTGTCCCGATTCTCAGCTATGCTCCTGGGTGAATAATAAATTCAAAACAAATACGCGCTCCGAGCAAAATTAATTGATGCGGGGGGAGTAGTATGGAAAAAGTAAGCCAAAACAACTTTTCTTTTACAACAAACACGTTCCCGCCTTCTAACTACATGTATTTTTTTTTGTGAAAACCACATATTTTTGACCCAAAAAACCCTACTCTAAAACTAAAGCTTTTAGTGCACTGATTTTTCATGTGCCTACGTAAAAATACATACCATTTCTTAACAGAAATTTGCATGTAATTAGAGGAGATGAAATCATTTATCATTAAAAAACCTAATATTTTTTAAACATTATAATTTATTGTTCAGTATGAAGCAGATGAACTCATGCTCCATTTTAAATATCTGGTAAGTTTCGCCCTAACTATCAATACCGGGTAATTTTGGTCCAACGGCGGTTTGGGTTGGTCAAACCCCAAGTAGCCAATTCTCTGTGCCTCACGAGTAGATCCAGAATTTTTGTGATGAACCTAATGATATTGATTTGGTATTGTAAATATTCAAATATTTATCTATATTGTTGGTCGAACTTCACAACTTTTGACTGGGAAAAAATTTAATATGCACTACATTTTGGCATAGAAAGAGGAGTGAGCGAGTGGGTCGCCCTGACATTCGCTCATCGAGCTCCTAAAAAGGGCCCTGCTCCATTAATGTTATTGGCCATCTACTCCCCTCAAACCAACTGCATGATGCATAGATTTTCCTTGTGCATAATTTCCTTTAAGAAGCCTCGCTCACTCTGTTGTAGGCTTTCTCAAAGTCCAGCTTCAAGAGTTTGAGAAAGCCTACGAGAGAGTGACAAAGTCGTAGAATGCAGTGTTGCCACTGGCCGACGACCTCACACAAGGGCCCATGCCCATGGGCCGGGTGAGACAAGTGTTGGGAAACATTGCATAAAAAATAAAAAAAAATTCTACGCACACGCAAAATCTATCCATGAAGATGCATAGCAA